GGCGCCAGTGTCCGGCAGCCTTGCCTCTGTCAGTGCGCCCCAGGGCAGCTGTGGCTACAATGTAGCTTGCCATTTCCAGTGTGTGAATGTGTGTGTGAATGGGTGAATGACTGAATGTAGTGTAAAGCGCTTTGGGGTCCTTAGGGACTGAGTAAAACGCTATACAAATGCAGGCCATTTACCATTTATTAGAGCTTCTGTCTAGGTTAGAGAACACACAGTTTGTGTCTACATCTAAGATGAGATTATGTGTGGCCATATCTGGAATTTGTGATTATAAATTGACAAAGAAGTTTTCATCATCGCAGTTGGGAGCATAAATGCTAGCTAAAATTAGTCTGAGTTGATAAAGATGGCAAACCACAATAATATAACGGCCCATAGGATCAGATAAAATGCTTGATACAGCAAAAGGGATGTGAAACATCCCTCGTCTTAGAGTTAAAGTTGAAGTGGAATAGTTGGCCTGCCCAACCAGTCCTCAATTTATGTTGGTCTGCTAACTGGTTATGTTAAGCACAAAAAGGTCCTTACACACCTGAAAGATCTCAAGGCTGATATCTCTGTTCTGCAGGAGACTCACCTTTGTATAGCTTCGACAGCAGCCATAGAGTTATCTAATCAAAAACCAACATTATGAATGTATTTGCACACCCAGACTCCAAGAAGGAGAAAAAAAAAGTAAATAAATTCTGGCAGTATCCCAGTGGCCAGATGCGCCTGGCCACTTCCCTGAGGAGCCAGTATATTTATATTTACGGAGTTTAGATGCCATTTCAGTTGTAACTACTGCTCCGTTTTTTTTCCATTGGTCATTGTAAGACTCCTTGTGCTTGCCTCAAAGGGTTGTGCGTTAAAACTTTTCTTTTTGAATTTGATCATTTAGGTGCAATGGCCTCTCAAATAGCAAAGGTATTGTTGTCATTGGATGCTGAAGCAGTTGGCTCACTCAAAGAAGGAGTGAATTTCAAGAAAAGCACAGAGGATGGCAAGTGTTACATCATATTTAAGAGCAACAATGACTTTAAAGCATGCAAGAACCAGTGCAAGCATCAAGGGGGACTGTTCATCAAAGACATTGAAGATCTGGATGGCATGTGAGAGCAGGAGCAGATATCAGTGATTATACATTGTCAATTTTTGATTATAGCTGACAGAATTGTCTGTTCCCTCAGGACTGTTAAATGTACCAAACACAACTGGAAATTAAATGTGTCAACAATGAAATATGTGAACCCACCTGACAGCTTCTTGCAGGATGAGCTTGGTAAGTTCTGTCTGTAAAATGCCATTTACTGTATATTGATATTCCACTTCCTGCAATATGAGTGTTGGATGCTAAATCTGGAATATAAATATGTAAACTGTAAAGGTGCATTACGGGATGTGTGAGGACCTTATAGTTATAGCTCTTGCCAGAGTAGGCTCTAACAATCAGAATAGCAATTACCTTCATTGCTTTATTAAATTAAATGCTAAACTGGTAGAGGGCCTTTTCTAAAGAATAACATGACAATTTATGTCAATAATTGTAATTAAGAAATGTCAAACATATTCTTTCCAACAGACATTTTCCATGCTGCAAATGACTGGGATGTAAACTGTTTAATGCAATGTAATTCTCTCCTTGGTAATTTACATTTTTTCACTCATCCACGTGACTTCTTCAGTCTCAGCTGACTGCAGGTTTCTCCAACCTTATGAACAGTACATTTGCACAATGACTGAAACCAGCCCACTGAATGAACAATGGGCTGTGAGGTCAGTTCTTTGGTCATTAATATGGAAATGGTGCCAGTGCTGCTAGTTTCAGTCATTGTGCAAATGTACTACCTCCTAAGAACAATAATTAAACATTTGTGAAGAGCTCTGACCAGGAAAGCAAACCAAAACAAGAAACCAATGTCAAACATATCCTTCCAACTGACAATTTCTATGACTGGAACTGTTTAATGTAATTTATTCCTCTGAAAGTAATAACAATTATACATTTGTGCCAAAAAGCCCACTACAGTATAAATACATGTGAGTCAGTATGAATGACCATATTTAATGCATGGATAATAATATAATGAGAATAATATAAATACCATTTAAATACTACACCTAAACTTCTTGTCGCACTTGCAGAGGTATCAATGTTGGATGATGGGGGGCTTCAGTTGGTGGAACTGAGCCCTGTTGATCCCTGGATGGCTGATCCTCGAGAACCTCTGGAGCTCCAGAAGGGAGAAGTGAAAGTACGTGTTGCTGTTACACTTTAAATAACAAATGTTTTACAGAGTTTTTCAGACACCGCTGTGCATTGTTTTACCCTTATTAGACTGTTATGCAAAATTATCTGTGTAATAAATTATATAAGTAATAATAAAAATCTTAATTATGTCAAAGTATCTCAATAATGAATGAAGAGGAAGGTCTGTGTATTCAGACTCACCTCTGGTGCAGGTGCCCACCTCTCAATTTTTAAATGCATGTAGACATTGAAGGTTGTCGGGAAGGGCCGTGCTGACACCTGCTAGCAGAAAGCATCATGCCCTTCCCGTCTTTTAAATGCACTTTAGAACAGCAAGCAGCAACAGTACATATGAGCAGGTGGAGAAAGGTATGGGGTCTTCACACACACCCGTTCTCTTTTTGGGGGGTGGGGGCTGGGAGGAGGAGTTGGCTGTCTGGTTGGGGTCTGGGATGCTCGGCCTCCCTGCTACTGCTTGTCTCCACACAAGGGAAAAGGGCAACATCTCCTGGGTCTGGGGCAGATTGCCCCTCCTGGGGCGACGGTACCTGGACCTGGGGGTATAGAATATGTTTGAGGAGTGTGACTTTGTCTACAGTGTTCATTTCTGTTTGTCTCCACATTAGGCAAGGGCTGCGTATTTACATGAGGGTGGGAATGCACGCTTGTGACTGTGTGTGCCTGTTTGTCTATGTCTGTGTGTTAGGTTACATCTTAGACTCCATCTCTCTGTGAACATCTCAGCCCCCCCAGGTGTAGGGGCCTATCACCCCCCACCACACTCCCTGCCGGTGGCTGACGCCCTCAGCCATCGGTGCGTTGGTGGTTCTTGGCATCTGGGGCTGGGCGCTCAGTTATGTACCAATTCACTCCCAGTGGCTCTTGGCTGCTTGACAAGGCCTGGTTCCCCCTGTGGCTTCTGCTCCGTGGCTGCTGGGTGACCCCAAATCTGGGGCTCTCCTCAGCTCTTTCCAGGAGAGGGTGCGGCTGCCCCTCCGTTGGTCCTCCTTGGGCTCTCGTGCTCTGGGGGACCTCTGGATGTCTAGGGCCTGGATCTCCTCCATGCCTGCTTCATGCCCTGGGAGATGGGGCTATGGCTCCCCACACCCTCTAGCAGATTGTTGCATTGACAAACCTTTTAAATACAAGCACTCTCATCCACACAGGTGTACACACAGGTGCTCATAGACACAAACTATACCTTTCTTGGCTATTACCTCAAAGCACATTGTGCGCTGTCAGTCTTATATGCTGCACAATAACATTCAATATTTAGTATTTACTGTTGCTTACGCTTATCTAGGTTATTGCAATGGTGTTGTGTTTACTACACTGAACAAAAATATAAATGCAACACTTTTGTTTTTGCTCCCATTTTTCATGAGCTGAATTGAAAGATCTGAAACATTTTCTACATAAGACCCATTACTATCAAATATTGTTGACAAATCTGTCTAAATCTGCGTTAGTGAGAACTTCTCCTTTGCCGAGATAATCCATCCCATCTCACAGTTGTGGCATGTCAAGGTGCTAATTAGACAACATGAATATTGCACAAGTGTGCCTTAGACTGCCCACAATAAAAGGCCACTCTGAAATATGCAGTTTGAGAGGCGTGATTGCAGATGCCACTCAGGTGGGTCCACCTCCCCTGCAGGTTGTAAGATTCAGATAATTATTTAATAAAAGCTAAATATTTTATATGAGAGTAAGAAAGAAAAGTATTTCTTTGTGCCCCCTTTCCCTGTTAATGCCCTACCTGGCCCCCTGGCAAAAGCTTTGCTAGATCCGCCCCTGCACAGTTACAAGCTGTGAGCTACACAGAAAAGGATCCAAGTGTTATTTGTCTCTCAGAAACAGTTCATAACTTCCCTTTAACTCATTCATGTCACCTAAAAGGTAAATCTGTTACTCCATCACCAGTTCAGCTCTGATGATTCAGTAAGGACATCTCCTGGTTTCGACCAGCCGCTTTTACAGCTGTGGCTCCAGCAAACATCAACTGATACTAGAAATTAAAATCGAATGAATTATAACAACAGCTGATCAAGCTTAAATGTGCTGCTGTTGTTTAGCGCGATAAACAAACAAGAGAGAAAAGCCGATCATTGATCAGTTTCATGATTGAAGTTGCAACAGGCGAGAGAATGACAGGGGAGGCTGCATATCGACAGAATAAATCCAGCTTTGTGTCTTCTTCCATTCTACCTGAAGTACGGGACAAACTGTGTTCCTTTTCGGCTCAATACGAAACGCATAATATTTTCTCTGAACGTGGGACGATTCCATTTGTACGGAACGGTTGGGAACTCTACGAACTAACCCTCATGAATAAAATAAAGTTCAACATCAGTAACTTAGCGCGCACACAGCTGTATAGAAACTCGTAACTCGTACTGCGTGCTGCTAGTACGCAGTACGAGTTATTGTAACTGATTGTAAAAAGTCAGCACAACGAAAATAAACTACACCTAAACTCGGTTTATATCTGACCCAAATGGAGTGCAGTTCATAACTTCTTACCTGAAATTCAGTTAACCTGACACAGCCACCTTGGGTCTGCTTCTCCTGCCTTTAATTTCCCTGATCCATGGCTGCTATCTGTTTGAGGTCCGCGTTAGCCACCACAGGTCGATCGGCGGCTGCCTCGCCGCCTCGTGTGTGTCTTTTTCCCGCAGCTGCCCTTTGTTGGAGCTCCGCTTAGCCACCACGAGAAAACTCAGTTATTTTCCCACATTAACCAGCATCTGGACAACCACCTTTCACTGTTTATACCGTTACTAAAATGAATAAATGAATCATCGGCCCATATAAACAAAAAATAAGTCCAGCTGAGACGAAGACTATTTGTGAGCGATCGGGGGTGAAATGAGTGTGAGCAGCCTCACTGAAATCCAAGCCCGGGTGCTTTTGAGCGAAGCTAGCTAGTCGCGCTAGCTAGCTAGCAAGAACTGTTGCTAATATGGGATGTCTTGATAAAACGAGCAGATATTTGAAGTTTACACACCTACATTCTCGCCTGAAAATATCTTAAAAGTTTATTTTGTGACCTAGAAACACGAATAAGAGGAATATAAAAATGAGGTGGCAGCCGCCATTGTTTCATTCGGTAGAGGCGTGCTATTTGTGGAATATGGAGTTTTCCACCAAGCTTACACACTTTCGCTTACCGTATATATTCAATGGTTTGCGCAACCTTAAAACTTCCAATGGCTCCTGAAAGCAGCGATGCTGTGCGCACCGTTGATTTTGTCGTCATTATGGTAATCCAAATAAGGGTAGACAGGGTGTACCACTCCCAGCATACCACTAGAGAGAGCCAACACACCACAAATGAAGTCTGTTTCTATGGGGCCAAAAGATGAATCTTTCCCAATTTGCACTTAAATCTAAATATTTAAAAAACTATAAAAGTCATAAACACCAAAAGTCATAGCATACTAGTCCAGATCCAGCCGCACAAAATGATATAACATATGTAACCCTTGTCTCAAAACTGTGCAACAGATAAGCGTGGGAATATTTGCAGTAAAATATTAATATTTAAAAAACTATAAAAGTCATAAACACCAAATGAACCTTGTCGCAAAACTGTGGGGCAAGTTACGCGTTAAAATTTTAGGCGGAGGATTGAGAATAAGAATAATAAATCCGACGAATAGTAATAAGTGTTCCTCTTGGCATAGGCACACTTAATAATAATAATAATGAACTAAGAGTGAAAAGTACATCAAGTATAGTCTCCAAAACATACATTTTCTTTTACTTTCCCCTCAGGTGACATACTTCACCCATGCCTGCATAGAGCTACAGCTTGGCAAGAGAAGGTTCATGTTCGACCCCTGGTTGAAGGGTCCTGCGTTTGCCAGGGGCTGGTGGCTTCTCCATGAGCCTCCAGCAGACGCCCTGGACAGGCTTTGTGGTGCAGATCTCATCTACATCAGCCATATGCACTCAGACCACCTCAGGCAAGCTCTGCTAATATTGTTAAATACATAAAAATATGCATTACATATTACTGCCATTTTTGTTTGAAGTAAATGATTCAGAGCAAACACAGTATAGTATCTACAAACAGTTTTTACTTCAGCTGTTCTATTCATCTTGATTACACAGAATTTTATTGATTTCTTATGGCGCAATATTGTAATATACATTACAATACTTGATCCATGACCAGCTGCAAGCAAAATCAAAAAGAGGAAAACAGCACCAGCTGCATACAGTGACAGTAAAGAGAAGGTATACTGTCCTTAAATTAAAGCATGTAAAAAGACTTTTACATCCTTTAATTAAAAAATAATTATAATTAATTACAAATTATTACAAAAGTAATGTAGAGCACTCTGCAATCTGGCCAGTCAGTACAGTGTACTTACTCTCAGAAACAAAATGATCAGTGTAAAATTACCAAAATTACCACTACTAAAATTACTTACTTACTTAAAATGTTTTACACAATATTTCAATTTACTTAAAGAATAATTATTTTTTGTTTCACGTAAATGTCTGACTTGGTATTATGTTAATCTAATGTAGCCAAATTTAAGTACTTCTATTCTCTGCTTTGAACAGCTCTTCAGAGCTCCTGAGAGAAATAAAAACATTTTTGGAACGTTAAATATTTTTATTCCTACTGGCTAGAACCTCAAATACAAAATCTACAAAGAGACCAACTTTCAGAAATGAAGGGTGTTTATATTTACAGTGCAGGGCACTGACTTTTTCTGTTTCCTTTATAGTTATCCCACACTGAAAGTGTTGGCAGAAAGAAGGCCGGACATCCCGATATATGTCGGTGACACATCCAGACCAGTGTTTTGGTTAGTAATGAAGTGGAGCTGAATTGTCCCCATAAATTACAGAGGGAATAAATTATCCAATGTTGGTCTGTTATTCACATACGGGTATCTCCGCTGTGACAGGTATATAAAGGAAAGCCAAGTTAAGCTGACCAATATTAAAGTCCTTCCCTTTGGTGTTTGGCAAAATGTAAGTCACTGCCTCTATCATTTGTTTAAGAGGAATTACAAAAAACCATTTTGTATATTAAAATCATATGATTTCCATAAAGAAGTAAAAATGAATCTTGCTGTCTCACTCAGATTGATGATCACCTGAGATTTATGATCCTGATGGATGGGGTACATCCTGAAATGGACACCTGCATCATTGTTGACTACAAAGGTGTCATTTTGAATAATAGAATTACTTGTGCTGTAAAAATAAGTCTGATTATAATATAAAATGTTGTTTTTATTGCAGGTCATATGATCCTCAACACTGTGGACTGCACCAGACCGAATGGAGGCAGGCTACCACAAAATGTGGACGTGATGATGTCTGACTTTGCTGGAGGAGCTTCTGGATTCCCAATGACCTTCTATGGAGGGAAATACAGCGGTGAGCCCGAGTTAGGTTTGCTTAGTTAGGTTTTACCTCCACCTACACACAACAGCATCTATGCTAGAATCTTTGATGGTTACATGTAGCTCTTTTAGCGATGTAAGAACGGACTTGTCAAACTGATACAGTTGTGGTCAAAAGTTTACATACACTTGTAAAGAATATAATATAATGGCTCTACCGAGCGTCCCGTTATTTCTAAAACTCTGATTTTTCTCTGATAGAGCGATTGGAACA